GGCAATTTATTGAAGATTGAAATTAATACTTTAAAATTTAATTGCATTTTATTTGCATTAAATTTACCTTATTATATTTTATTTTAAAAGCCAGAAAATTGAAAAATTCATTCATTTAAAATAGTTTTATGAAATACTTCAGTAATAAATAGTTTTAAACGTAATTGATATACATTATATCAATAATCATATACTTACGTGTATTCRTTTTTATTTGAGTTCCTCGCCGGTAATGAATGTATTTATTTATTTTTAAATTGATTTGCTTATCTAAAAATAAGTTTTTATAATAACTATAACATCCATAGTGTAATGTAATTTAAAGTTTATGTGTAATATTATCTATGTATAGTTTTCATCTTGTCGAAGTTTTTTCAATGGGTGAATTCTTCATTCTGAGGAAACAAAATGAATTTTTTCTTTGTTTTAGAATAATTCAGATATTATAATATTCACCTTTTTTTCTGACGGTGTATGTTACTGATTGTGAAATAATATTAAAATGTTTATATTGCCTAATACAGATACAATGATAAACACATGTGATATATATATATATATATAGGTATGCGAAATACGTATCAAAATTATATACCTATAATTAATCAGTATAATATTATGTTTAATTTTAATAGTATATGTTATGATGTTAGCTTACGTGTAGTTACTGACTAATAACATAAACTATCAAGTTTTTATAATGACATATTAGCCACTTGCAATACAAATAATGGTAGGTGTAAGGTAGTTACGATTTCTATTTTGGAGTGAAATAGGTAATTAATAATTACCTAATATAACCTAGGGTGTGAATTTAAATGCATTATTATTTTATAACTTATAGTAATATAATTTACCTTAGTAATAATAATAAAAATTATTAATCATTATCCAGGAACTTAACTAATTGTGCAAATAATATATTATGAAAATGTAAGTTAGTAGTTTAAAATATTTATATGATTTCAGTCATAACTAKGGASTTGAGTCATAATATTAATTTTTCATGAATTATTACATTTTCGGCATTTCTATAATTGTTAAAAAAATCGAAATTATGATACACATTATGGAGAAATGGACTAGTTACCTATATGAACTATTTTTAGTTAAAGGGTCGCATAAAAAAGTACTATATAGAATATAAATGTATGTTGTGGTTTCAGGTTTGTAATGATCGTGTGTTTTACTAGGGGACGGTTTTTAATTTTAATTATTATTTTTATGTAGTTTTAACATAAGTCTTATAATTTGAATGTTTCCGACATATATATGAGTACATAATATGTTTAATTTAATTTTGAATAAGCGGATGCCAATCTTATTTTAAATATTGTACACATAGTAAATACATATTGTATATTACTATAGTAGAGTTTTCGTTTTTATTTTAATATTTTACAATTTAGGTAGGTACGATGTAATATGATAATTTCAATAAAAGTCTCAAATGTTGTACAATTAATATTTAAAAATATGTCTAAATTCTCTGTGATGCATTTAAAATATTATATCAACCNAGTAGTTATTTCTGTTACAAAAAAAAAGAAATTAAATATGTATAATCATAGTTTTTTTAATAACTATTTAAGTTCAAAAATTGACGAAATTACATGTTTAATCAATATATAATGAATTTAGTTATTTTGTATTGTAATTCATAAATATTTTTCGTTGAGATTTGAACCTTTTATGTAAACTATTAAACTTTATAAACATAATGCCACTTGACACAACATATTTAGCTATTGCCTATTTATGCAGTTCTGCGGTTAGTCGATATAATATTTACTCAAAAGTTAATGACAATAATAAATTACATAAAAATAGTATACTACTAAAGTAGCTAAATATGTTTGGTTAAAATTAATTCAACCTACTGTAACGCTATTATCAAAATAAATTCCTTTATTAGCAGTAACAAAAAACACATGAAATATATTTAGGTACCTAGTAATATAGACTGACAGTCCGTCTTCGCTCTGAATAGTTTTTCGTATCAAATGATTTATTATTGAATTCAAATTTAACACGTAATATATCTACCTACAATTAAAGTGTCTTACTCAATGACGAGGTAAACTTGACACCTACTGTACTCCACATAGCAGAGAGGTTAACTACTTTCCCCTTATTTGTTTATTCATTTTGTCAGTATAAATATATTTTCATGAAAATAATTATTAAGAGTTTTTAGTAGACCAAAAAGAAAATTGCAAATTATACATTTTAAAGAAGAATTCAAGAGTGTTTGCACAATTTTATTTTTTTTCATAAAAACGCTTCAAAATGTAATACAAGGTCCCTTATATATTGTTACAACGATAGTTAAAAATATTRAAAACACATGGTTACAATTTTTTTTAATAATCATTTAAAGTTCGAATTTTGACAAAATACGTAAAAAACACGAACATTTTGAAATTTATTCTAAGTAAGAAATTCATACAAATTTAATATATGATTGAATTTGTCTATTTTTATCAAATAAAAAATGTCTACTGGAAAATCAAATTACAACATTGGATATTCACTCAATTTCTCTTGTAGCGATATTCTTATTTTGTTGTTATTTAAAAACGAGTAACAGCAAACATTTTTAAAATATGTTTATTTTATCATTTCCTATATTTGATAACATTTTCAAAATAATTCGACTATTTTTAAATTATTTATAGACATTTGAAATTTAATTGAAAATTTACAAATTCTTTAGTTGTTAAAAATTTATAAAACGTTAAACACTGTACCAACACATTTTTTTTTTTTAATAATTATTTTAAGTTCAAATTTGGATGAAATTACATATTAAGTAATCAAGAATAACAATTTTAGTCATATTGTTGTAATTTGCAAATATTATTCATAGGTACTTATTTCCAGAGTATACTTTATATTCTAATATTAATAGTTAATGTCTAATGACTTATATTAATACTTTATAATAAATTATATATACTTCTATGAATGACTGAGTGAGTCGGAAACATAATGAATTTGATTTGATTAATTTGGAATTTATTTTATAGGTATCTTCATTTTTTTTTATAAAATAATAAAATATAATTAATATAGTATAATATATCCTAGATTGACAAACCGTCTCCACTCAGAATCGTTTTTCGTATAGAATGATATTATATCATTGAATTCAAATYTAATACCATCCATTACATTAACCCACTTGCTACCTACTATACAGGAGAGTGACATCCACTTACTTACCCTCTTTTTAATTATAACTATGTATATAAGTTTTAATATATATCATGAAATGAAATTCCTCTGGGATATGCCACTAAAAACATACTCAACAGTTCCCTAGCTTATTCGGGGATATTCTACTCATWTAGACTTAAAATACTAATAACTCAGTAATAGTTCATTTGAAATTAGATATTTATATAAAAAAAAGGGTTCAAATGTAATATGAAATCAAATATAATATTATTATTATTATGTGGTTATAAGAACTAATACACTTTAAAATGATAAAGATAAACAAATAATAGAAAACTGTTGCTGTTATTATTGTAAAACTTTAAAAATCGTTGTTGTTTTTAAACATTTACATTTTACAACCTTAGTTGATAATGGTTTTTAGAGAACAATACAAAGAAAAATAGTTATGATACATTCATTTTATAAAAATCATTGTTCTTTTGTTCTATCAAATGGCACTGTTGAGCGCCTTCCATTTCTGTCGTAAATATCATTAAATCTAATTAGGTATCAAACTTAATATAACAATATTATTATTGTAATTGTAGGTATAGATTGCTAATATATTTTGATTTAATAAAAAAAGAATACAAAAATATTCGTAATGTCTTTTTTTTAAATATGGGTAGGTACATTCAATTTTTTTGAGAAAGTGACTGTTTACCTTTGTCTATAGAATAAACCTATTGCCTAGATAATATTAGTGTAGGTATAATATAAAGAAGCCACAAAATATAATTTATCCTAAAAACAAAGCTTTGTACATGCAATCAATTCAATTTTAATTTTGGTCACAATAATAATTATAAACAATAATTTGAATCTGAGTATTTACTTCGTAGCACAGTTGCGGTTTAAAAGTCTATAATTTTATGTGGAACACATTCCATGAGGTAATCACTTAAATATAATACACTTTAGCCGCAAATCAATAAATCTCAATTATACCGTTGGTATGCAATCTTGTGAAATATCAAGTCTACAAGTAGCAGAGTTGAGAAAAATTAACTTACGCCGCAAATACTTCTCACATCAAAATCTTACCCACTTAAATAAAATAAATATAGGTATCTATTATCTAGTTTATATTATTAAGAAGGAATGATATAGTTTATTATGAAATCAAATTTACATTTATTATTTTGAGGTTTATTTGTTCAAAACTACGCGGTCGTGGTTGTTATGATATATTGTTGAAATATCAATTTTTCGTGTTAGTTCCTGCTTCTGCAATAAGATGTATTAAGCACTCTATGTGCGCTGTAATTTATGTATTATGTACGAAATGTATCAATTTTTTTTTGCAATAGTAAACCATACAATCTTTGCCAGGGTTATAACTTATAAGTTATAATGATACATTTCTATCGCTATTAATGCTCTCGGCAGCTTGTATTACAAGATGTGTTCTATTTAAACGATTGAACATTTCATATCGAAATATACACTTGTGAGTTGTGAGTTAATACTATATATAATAATATGATGCATATTTGATAGTATTTTGTAAAATCTTAAACATTAAATAAGTTTAAATTATTATTCCATAATCTTTCAGAATATTGTGGAAGACCGGGATAAATAAGAAAATAATATGAAAATAACTGAGGGCGATTGCTGTGTGGAATAAAGTAGAAGAATTTCATTAGTTCTAATAATAATAACAATATTGATAGTAATAAAAATAATAAATATTATAATGATAACACAGTRGTACCTGCTGTACGATTGAGATATCGATCTATATGATTTCACGTATTTCTATCGTCTAGCTTATCGYCTGAATCGCGAGRAATACTGTTAACGTACGATATTCTGTTGCGTCAACAACACTCATCGTCCAACGTCTGAACCGGTCAATTATTATTGTTTTTATGATCGGGGGGCAGTTAAAACAACAGTAGCAGCAGACACGCGCGGCGATGCTAGTGGCAGTCTTAAGTAATCAGTCGTACGCACATAGTCAACAGACCGAGCACTTTCGGGGATCATCGAGTTCAGGTTAGTACCGTATTTGTATCTTCTAATAAATGTTTGTTTATTTGTTCACCGTCTATTATATAAACTCAAAAACTACTAAATACAAAATGTATAGAATACCTACTCGCTAAACTCTGAAGGGTTTGTGGAGCTTCGTTTCGACTCATAATATTTTAGGTCACTTATAAAGTATAAGGTTTTTTTTTTTTATATCCCTATACTAGGATAGCTATTATGGTCGGATATTATTTTCTGTGTTGTATTATATTTATTGTAATTTGTAATTAAGGGCATTAAGGCTAATAAAACTATTGCGCATRAATGTGAAATTGAGCAACGGCTATATTTTATGCATATAAGACAAATTTGATGGTTGACAGATATGGCTTATATACACTAAAAAAGTACAGAACGGATTTTGATGATTCAGGGAATGTTTAGATAATAAATCGAACCGGTCATTTTAGGGTGGCTAACCCGTTATAAGTAATTTTAAAATCGCTACAGCAAATTCGTTTGTATCAACAGCTTGTAATATTATTTTATATTGATTAGCATAAAAAAATTCCTATCCCCCATAGGGAGATTGCCCATCTCGTTTTTRTTCATCCACAGGCAGTCAATGCCGGGTTATACAGCTAAGTRTTGATATATTATACGAGTACTATATGTAGGTTTTATAATATGACATAATATTTTAAACCGTCTATATTCGAAATAGATATTGTTAATATCAGTTATCATAGTAATATGACTGTGGTTTGTACGTATGTGTTATGCTTTTGTTGCTTATACGAGTATACGTCATGTAAAAATCGTGGTGAATCTTTTTTATGGACACGGCTGCGCCGCGCGTGTTCGTATATTATGTATTTTTTTTTTTTTTAACTAGAGAACACAATCTACTGCGAAAAAAGAATCATCTATGTTTACAAACTCGATAAGACAAGACGTATGAAATGAAAAAAATAACGCCATTTAGTTACCAACAGACAATAATATCGTACTCATGTTTTATTCTCTGCGGTGTCTATATGTGTTCAGCTGTAGGTTGTAACATATTATTATAGTATTAATGTATCCCTGTCAGCATTAATACGTTTATCGTAGTTTACGGAGTTTAATAGAGTGATGTTTTTATGTTATTCCGCATATAYCTACGATATACTTGGCATAACACGGTACGCGGTGATATTAAGTTTTTTTTTTGTATGTTTTTAAATAAAAATGTGTTAAAGCCTAAATAAAACGACAACGATATTTAGATACGATCTGTAATCTATAAGTTGTAGAAGAACTGCCACGTACCTCCTATGCAATATAGTAATATGTACCATTTAAGTCGCGTCATATTAATATGATTTTTTTTTCACATTTTTGTCAAGAACATTTTAAGTATAGGTACCAGTATTTTATTTAGATGGTGATCTGGGATGTGTAAATTATATAAATGATTATCACCCACAACACGATAATGAATATATAATATGTCGTATGAAAACTAACAAGCTTAACTGACAAGATGTTTTAAAATATGACCAAATTGCTTAGTACGATATACAACCAATTAAATAAGTTAACGTGATGTTTTTTACTTCCATTGAGTTCATATAGTCGATTATAGAATTTATTTGTTTTGAACAATTGAACATAATACAATGTTGTGTTTTTACAATATTATAATACTCTAGAGGAATGTATAATTAAAATACTACGGATGCTGTGATAAATTAATCAAATTTTATTGTTGTCTAAGAATAATACATTTAGTTATTAAGTACCTACTTAGTTATCTATTACAATTGCAAAAAATTTCGTTTAAATTATAATAAAATATTATGAGATTCCAAGTGTAAAAAATAACAATAATGATTATTTTTTGGCACAAACTTCTTAAAGAGTAGAGWTGTTTCAAAAGTTCCATACACTAAATATTGTAGTACTGATAATACAACGCATGGTTTGGCAATTTATTGAAGATTGAAATTAATACTTTAAAATTTAATTGCATTTTATTTGCATTAAATTTACCTTATTATATTTTATTTTAAAAGCCAGAAAATTGAAAAATTCATTCATTTAAAATAGTTTTATGAAATACTTCAGTAATAAATAGTTTTAAACGTAATTGATATACATTATATCAATAATCATATACTTACGTGTATTCRTTTTTATTTGAGTTCCTCGCCGGTAATGAATGTATTTATTTATTTTTAAATTGATTTGCTTATCTAAAAATAAGTTTTTATAATAACTATAACATCCATAGTGTAATGTAATTTAAAGTTTATGTGTAATATTATCTATGTATAGTTTTCATCTTGTCGAAGTTTTTTCAATGGGTGAATTCTTCATTCTGAGGAAACAAAATGAATTTTTTCTTTGTTTTAGAATAATTCAGATATTATAATATTCACCTTTTTTTCTGACGGTGTATGTTACTGATTGTGAAATAATATTAAAATGTTTATATTGCCTAATACAGATACAATGATAAACACATGTGATATATATATATATATATAGGTATGCGAAATACGTATCAAAATTATATACCTATAATTAATCAGTATAATATTATGTTTAATTTTAATAGTATATGTTATGATGTTAGCTTACGTGTAGTTACTGACTAATAACATAAACTATCAAGTTTTYATAATGACATATTAGCCACTTGCAATACAAATAATGGTAGGTGTAAGGTAGTTACGATTTCTATTTTGGAGTGAAATAGGTAATTAATAATTACCTAATATAACCTAGGGTGTGAATTTAAATGCATTATTATTTTATAACTTATAGTAATATAATTTACCTTAGTAATAATAATAAAAATTATTAATCATTATCCAGGAACTTAACTAATTGTGCAAATAATATATTATGAAAATGTAAGTTAGTAGTTTAAAATATTTATATGATTTCAGTCATAACTAKGGASTTGAGTCATAATATTAATTTTTCATGAATTATTACATTTTCGGCATTTCTATAATTGTTAAAAAAATCGAAATTATGATACACATTATGGAGAAATGGACTAGTTACCTATATGAACTATTTTTAGTTAAAGGGTCGCATAAAAAAGTACTATATAGAATATAAATGTATGTTGTGGTTTCAGGTTTGTAATGATCGTGTGTTTTACTAGGGGACGGTTTTTAATTTTAATTATTATTTTTATGTAGTTTTAACATAAGTCTTATAATTTGAAAGTTTCCGACATATATATGAGTACATAATATGTTTAATTTAATTTTGAATAAGCGGATGCCAATCTTATTTTAAATATTGTACACATAGTAAATACATATTGTATATTACTATAGTAGAGTTTTCGTTTTTATTTTAATATTTTACAATTTAGGTAGGTACGATGTAATATGATAATTTCAATAAAAGTCTCAAATGTTGTACAATTAATATTTAAAAATATGTCTAAATTCTCTGTGATGCATTTAAAATATTATATCAACCMATGTTTTAGAGGTCTAGTTGCGCTTATGATCGTCAGCATGGTCAAGCATTAGGAGGGAACCGTGATRTATATGAATTGATTATAAATTGATAATTTAAAAGAGCCAAATTAACTTTAATCGACTTTTTATAGAAATTAAATCAAACACAATGTATATAAAAATAATCTTTTTTTCTAACAAAAAAAGAAAATAYTTGCTTTCAAATCCTAATCCTAAATATATTATGAGCTAACACTAAACACGATATGTTTGTTTAACATCGTTAATACATAACAATATACGRAATTCTTAGTATAGTATAGGTATCTATATTATAAAATAAATGTACTTTCAACGAAAAAAATATTACACACAAGCCGCCACAACTGCATGTGTGGAGGAAGTAACACAACAGCAAAATACATATGGTACACATAGCGATGACATAGGTGTGTTGTATTATAAGGCCAYAATCGAACTTTCCGTGTGCTCAGGCCGCTCAGGGTCAGTATTGGGACGAGTTTAATATTAGGCAGGTMACAATCTGAGCCTACGTATACCTACTGGATATTATACATATGTTTCACTGATGCCGAAAGTGGTGGACGTCGACTGTTCGCTGACGTTTGATCCGCATTTGCCCCCCCCCTCCACTTCAACTGCTTCCGACATCGCTCGCATCCATTACGGTGTGATCACGACCATGGTACTTTCGTGTAGTTTGAAGTGGTGACGTCGTTACCGTGGTTGTCGACACTAATCTGAAGTCTAAACATTGCACACATGTCTCACAAACTCCGTCCAATGCCACGCCCAAGACGCTTCTCGTTATTTCGCGGTTTGTCTTAATCTGGTTTTCAGTTAGTTAMAGTCGATGCGACTGCTGCATTTTATTTGAAATGCACCCTTTGCTATTTATATGTATAAAAACTGCTTACAATATTTTCTGTTCAGTGAAATTGATGACTTAACGTCATTCATGGATAATGTATTTAAGGTGTCTTCTTTTTTCATAATAGTTTGCTTTTTCGAAAAAAACACTATTTTTTTAAAAACCGTTTTATTGTATTGATAAATATACATATAGATTATTGGCTTGCTAACCAACTGATTAGAGTTTTATAAGCACGTTTGGTTCGAGATCTGAAATTAAATTGGAAGAAATTGTTTGGAGAAAGAATTTATCGCATCTTTAAATATATATAGGCCTGATGTCAGTATAGGTAGTTAATACCACACTAAAACTTACATTTGTATATCATACAATGTACACACGACAGACATTCTGATAACTTTTTTTCCATTTTTTTCATTATGGACTTAATTTATCTATTTATATACTCAATAATATTATAATGTCATATAGGTATATACATCACAGTTTATATAACATAATATGGTATGCATTGTATGCATAAATACAAAATATATTATTTAATTAGAAACATAAGTTTTTTTTTTATATCTACCATTGTGCCCTGGGCTTATGACTTGTATATAAACAAAAATATCAAACAAATCTGCTATCCATGAAGGACAGATGCGATGATTTACCAAGTTTTCTTTATTACCAAAATCAACAATATTATTCTACACAAATAAATTATACTAAATGTTTTGTAGAGCAATGTTCATATACTATTTCTTCATACACAGCTACTATACATACATACATATTGTATACTAAATATATTATAGACTACAACCTAAGCTAAAATATTATAGAAACACAATTATATGTCAAACGATATAAGTATTAAACTGTCGTTTAATTAATGGTGTATTCACAGGAAAAATAACTGACAAACTCTTTGGTGAATTCAAAAGCACGTGTAAGTATAATGATTGTACCACTCACCGATGTTCAGCTGAAAGCGATTCAAAATGTTTGTCCAAGATCAAAAGCTGAAATTGATCAGGATTTATCCATCCTCAGACACTGGTTGGATAAACAGCCACATCTACCGAAAACAAGTACTTATTAARTTTACAACAGTAATATATTTGTTCACTTATTCAATGTTTTATAATACCTACCTAATTAACGTGGGATTTAAAAACTGTAAAGAATTAAAGGGGCTAGCTGATACTATTTAATATGTCGAGTTGCGAAATTGTGGGGTTAATAATTACCGAAAGCAGAACGTCTTAGGTATACTGTCTTATTATTATTTTTTTTTTTGTTAACCCACGACAATATAGGTCATTGAGGGAGGGGGTGGTATTGTAAGTTTTTTTTAACGGTGGTGGAGGGAACATGTGAGAATTTTTGGCAGAATTTCGAATGGGCACTCGTAGGTTTCTGCCATGTCCGGAAGGAGGGCGGCGGCCTCTTTTCAGACAGCGTGAACTTCCCGGAATGTGATGCCGCCCATGACCGGAATTCGAACCGTTGACGGTGCGCAACGAAACCGACGCCAATCCGCCCGGCCACTACACCCCCTGTCTTATTTTTGTATCTTACGTTAAATCGAGGTTTCGTATTATTATTTTTATTTAATCAATCGTTACAATAATTTAATATGTTAAATTATGCGTAGTTTGGTAGCGCTAATACGTGGTAATTACCTAATAGTAGGTATATTATAAAAACACGAATTATCCATCTCCAACGTTACATTAAATTTTATCATAATACTTAAATTGTCAGGATATCAAGGTGGTTAATATAAGAGTTGTGCATAAATTATTAATTAATCTTTTGATGATCGTTATATCTTCTACAATATACTACTACAACTACGCAAAAAAATTATATGACATAAATGCACGTATTTTATACGATCGGAATCCGAATTTTATATATTTATAGAATCTTTATAGGTRCATATTTTATATCACTAACACATAGATAATATAGAATATTTTAATGTATAAAAAACGCAGAAATGAWGGTMATTCGACAAAAAGTAYACTTATTTAGTAAATGATAAACATAATATTATTATACTTYGTGTAATAACATTGGTTCGGTTATAGGTAGGTACATATGGTACAGATTAACAATTTTAAAAATACTGTATAGCTTTTGTCATGAAACCAATTGGATGTAACAATTATTACTAATGATGTGTAAGGTAGAATCAAACATAATATTATGTTCCATTCGGGCCGAAATAATGATAATATATAAGAATTAATAAAAATATAAATATTAAAAACATAATTTTTTTTTAAATACATATTTACAAATACACAAACCTGGCTATGACGCTATGTGTCCCCACTTACCATGCTATAGGTGGTAAACACGGTCGACGGGCCTCATCGCATGTTAGTTCAAACAAGAAAAAATAAAAATATTCTTGTAGGTACTATAAAAAGTGAAAATTATCACTCGATGTAATTTTAAGCCGAGAAGACTATAGGCCCTTTACACACGTGGGCCCCTGGGACTTGTCCCCCCCTGCCYCCTTAATCCGGGCTTCCATTCGACGTATACACCATTACAAATTATTCCATCTCAGATGAATAATAATACTATAGGTAATCTAATTTCGATAGTATTTCACTTAWAGACAAAGTCGATAATAGGAATTAAAAAAATCCTAAATTATGGGTCTATGATTTATTACGAATAATAAGTTGAATTATTTATTTTTATTTCAGGTGATGAATTCATAAAAAAAGTTTTGTTTAGCTTAAAATACCGCACGGAAAAAGTCAAACTTGTGATTGATAACTACTATACTGTTAAAGAATTATTTCCTCAAATTTATGGAGATTTAGATCCAAGAACAGAATCATTTCGAAAACACGTAGAAGCAGTGTAAGTATAGAAAAATTTATACCTCAAATTAATTAATATCAATTACATAATATTATAATATTAMCTATTATTTGTTTATAATAAATTAATAACTAATAAGAATAATAAATTGTCTAACTATTCTGTATTAAAATGCATATATGTAGATTGTAGGTATACAGTAAACTATAATTTTAAATGTTAACTATATTAAACGATTTGAATTAAAAAGTTAATAACATCGATAATTTGTGTTCCAAATAAGCGTTAAAAAAGTGAAACAAATATCTGATATTTTTGGATATCTCCATTATTGCATGAAATGTATTATTTTAGTTTGTGACAACAAATTCACACTCCAGTTAAATGAACTCGCGAAGAACGTCTTTTGTTTTAATTTTTATACATATCTGAGTCACGATTTAAGCGTGTCTATTCCAAACACCGAACGCTAATAATCGTGGCCGAAGGTAAATTTGACTGACAAACAAAAATGGACATATAAATAGGTTCATCTGTATGCTTATAAGTTATATTACAATAGTATAAGCTATACACTATATAGTTATTTAAAAATTAAAATACATAATCATATCAAAATATGCTTGTTGTACATATAATTGTATATATTTTGTATTTCCTAGTAAATGTGAAAATCGTATTAAAAAATATATTAATCCAACAGAAATCTAAAATAATTATAAATTAATAACCAGTACATCATATTAAATTTCTCAGMAAATATGATCATCTAGGAATCAACAATTTATGAATAAAACCAATCAATCTATATCATTCACATTTAAGTTTGGTGTAACATTATGTAATTAATTACACATTTTAAAGTTTTATAAGCTAAAATTAATGATAAACTGGTTAACAGAAAACATAATTATTTTCACAAATCATATCAACATTGTATCCGTTTCGAGTTTAAGTATTTTACTCTTTCGATTCGTTTGATTAACACATTGCAAGTTAAAAAAGATATTAAAGTAGCATGCACAGAACTATGCAGATAAAAATTAATTTCAAATTTAGTTTTTCGATTTGTTAATTTAAATTATTAATAACTGTAAATTTTGTTGTGATAAATTTTATAATTTATTKAAAAGCAAAAGCTACATTAATTTTAATTAATGGCAAGTATAAGTTTTTCATTCATTGATTTGTATACATTTTAGTCACATGTTTCCATTGCCTAAACTCACACCAGACTTCTACAGAGTGCTCTGTTACCAAATGACTACAACTGATGCAAAAGCGTTTTGTCCTGATAATCAATTAAAACGCAATGAATTGATGTGGAATTGGTTGTTCGATGAAGACGCATTGACGTTAGGTGATATTTGGATATTCGACCTGACAAATATGGATTCGATGGCTCAATGGGCACATTTCAATCTCAGTTTTATGAAAAAAATTCTCAAAATAAATATGGTAATTTAAAGTTAATTGGTCATTAAAACATAACAATATATAGTAATAAACTTAGGCTACAAAAACAATACGAATCCATTATCCAAATGATAGTTCAGCTGATTCATAARTCATAGCATACTATATTAGACTAAGCTAATATTTACGGGTTATTAAAAAGGAAATACATTTTTATAACTACGCTGTGATATATATATTTTTTCTTAAAGTAAATTTAGAGTAATATTATAATTTAAATTAAAAAATACTTATTATGTTTAAGAAAATATTTTTACAATGATACTACATTTTAATTTTCTTTATTCGATCAAAATATAATGTCGTCTGTATAATATTAAAATGTTACTATAATTGATAGTTACCTACATTATGATATCATATTTATTATCAGATTTTATTTTAGGAAGCGAAACCAGTGAGGATTAAGCGAGTTCATTTTGTAAACATAGCACCAATAGCCGAAACCTCACTTAATTTTATTAAACACTTTTTTCCACAAAAATATAAGAACAGAGTGAGTAAATACTAAATATATACGTAATATTACTATACGTTTATTGCAGCATTTCGGTGTTGTGTAGAATCAAGTAGAATTATCGTTTTACATTTATTTCAGATCTTATTTAACTCGACTTTTGAAAGTTTGCAAGACCAATACCCAATTGATATGTTTCCAAACGAATGGGGTGGTAAAGCTGGAAGTATGGCTGAACTGAGTCGTAAGTGCTCTAAAGATTGTAAAATRTACTATCTTTGTTGTTTGACATTTAATTTAAATTTTTTTGAGTAGTTGTAAAGTACTTATCTGTACTTTACACCTGTTTTATTAAACAATATTTATTTCAGTAATTTTGATAATATATGAATTTTTAGTAAATATCATACATTCATAGATGCGTTTATTTATTGTAGAAAGAATGCATGAAGAACTCATAAAACGTAGAAGTTGGTGCTTGGCAATGGAAGGATTGAAAGCCGATTCTAGTAAAAGGATCAGTCATTCTAAGACGGCSGATCAGTCGATATTAGGCATTGAAGGAAACTTCAAGAAAATTTGTTTCGATTAAACGTATTGCGATGAAAACAAACATATGATTTTACCTCTATATACATTTTATATTATTGTATTGTTAAAAAATTATTTTTAGTTGTGTAATTATTATTTTTGCAGGCATTATAATATGAGATATTATGGTTTATGGTTAAGGCTTAAGAATCAGTGATCAATAATTCGAAAAAACACTCTGTACTTATATGTATAGAATAAGGAATAATATAATATAATGTGGTTAACCTATKTTTTGTTTCCTTGTATCATAGATTGAAAGAYACTATTGTACTTATTTATACTATAGTTGCTATTCTGATTTTATTTTATACAAAGTTGTAAAAAAAAATATGTAATTTAAATTAATAATTAAATAATGTTGTGACAAATTATAACACGTGTTGTAATTTAAGACAAAAATATTTATACCGGTATCTTATTTTATCCTATCCAAATTTTGAGAAACAAATCATTATTGAATTTTAGTGGCATTTTGAGAAACTTGTCGTTAATGCTGCAATGGCCTCTTACAGCTAACTGTGGGTTAAAAATAAAAATAAAAATCGTTAGCTCAACGATTTTATAATATTAGGTATTGGTACGGTTACCACATTGTATCTTTAAGAAAAGAGTGCATAATATATATGGTCATAAAGGTAATATAAAAAATATTTTTTCATAATTAATATTTATTTAATTAACAAGACATTTTATAAACTATAAATTATGTATGAAATACTTAATACTGAAATACATAATATTCTCACACATTTAGTAAATAATTAGCTTTTATTTATAATTTTAATTACATAGGTATCAAGATATATGCTTAAATATTTAATATTTGTTACTGCTTCGAATTTTTGATAACAAACTTTTGTCTTTAGTACAATAATCATGAAACTGAGTACAGTTGAAATGCTTAAAATTGTATTGTGTCATCAACAAATGCTTTACAGAATCGGGAAGAAGTATATTTTTATCATCAGTCCATTGTGCATAGTTTCATAGGACTAAATATTCTTTCGACATTGGCATTTTGAGCAGGTGTGGCGAAATAACGTGCTTATTTTTAACAGTCCTGAAGATTAATCATAGCTTCTTTGTTCAAAATATTTCACCCACTTTGTATCTGATAATTACGATGAAAAGTTTTCATTTTTTTCCATTTGTGAAAAAAACAAATTTAAGTTTTGAAATTGATCAAATAATAAAAAGTCATTTAATTGTAGATCATATTTGTTCAAAAATAAAATGCTATTATCTATATCAGTTCRTAAAGGTKTGATGTTTAAAGACATCCATTTAAACAATTAAATTGATCGAAATTGGCTGTCCATTTTCTAAAATCACACAAGCCATGACCATATAACATTTATTTTTTTAAATTTGATGCATCTGATTGGTTATAATTATTTTTTTTACTTTTAACGGTGAAAATTCTTGTTGTTTTCGTTCGTGTAAAGCATTATTTTATACTGACAATAATATTGACGAAATCTCTCAAACCGAATTATTTTCTTTTTCCATTATCTCAATTTTTGAATGAAATACTATAAATAATTTTCATTTGAAAAATTTTCAAAAAATGTTTTAATTGCAATTGATATTTGATTTTGTGATAAAAAATATGACTTAATATTATATATTTGTAACAATCTATTAATAACCGGAAATAATAATGGCCATCTTGTTTTTGAATGAAATAAAAGTTTTTTGTACTCAACATCGACAAAAATACAAAATTATTTTAGCGATACCGTATTGGGAACTATATCGGTTGTTTTACGATATAACTATCATCGGATTTCTTCCGACAATRACTGAACAGTTGGGGCTGAAATATAGATAGAAGAATTTGTATTGTGCCCGTTTTTATTATTCCGTGTTATCATGCACAGTCATTTGTCGATAACTGCAGCTAAATGTAAATCGTTAAAAATAATATAATTTARTGTCGGTAAATTTCYAGGCGATTGAATAGCTTAAATGGCACACGTGCGTTGGATTTGCATTCATGGTACTTATAAGTTATAACCGATTCGGCCTGTCAATAATCAACGACTATAACCTACTATTACTGTAAAACCGAGTAGGTGTATAAAATAATATGATCATACCGTTTAAAATATCAAGTACATGAGTTGAYAGAGCGCATGTTATGAACGTGATAAATTTCATGTAAAGAGCCAAGATAACAATTTTAAAGTAGTACATAATCTGTCTGATGGTTCAATTCGTGATCTAAATTTTAAACATCTTTTTTTTACAACTGTTCCACTGGCTTAAAAAAATATTTTAAACGAAAACTGTTATAAATATTAGTGTATGGTATTAAATGTAGCAACCACAATATTATCAAGTCCTTTTACTCCTCGTATGATAAGATAGAATTATTTACGTAATAATAATTCACAGATAAATATTCTATTCTATATACAACACAATATTGTACCTTTAAATAACCCACCTGAATATTCAAATATTCAGCAATTCATTTATTTTCCTCATTTTTTTTTTTTAGAATAATGTAATATTACCGCATAATCTTTAATTGTTCAACAGTTGTGAATGTATACATTTGTTATTTATTTATCATTTATTGGAGCTGCTCGATTAAATCGATAAATCTTAATTGATTCTAATTAACCGATTTTTCGATTAATAATAATAAWAAAAAAAATCAAACAGCTCTAATATAATATTATGATATTCATGTCGTAGGTACCCCTATCATAAGTCTTATTACATAGAGTAATATTATAACTTATAATTTATAAGCATATTGTAATATGATGGATTATATTTTCATAATATATATTATTATATAATTTATTTTAGTATTAAATCTTAAATATTATTTTCTTGGCTAAATATGTTTCTATGACATTTAAAAGTCTTGACAACGTAAATAAAGCCATTAATAACAAACATTAAACAAATTCATATCTTCGAAAACATTTTGGAAATATATTATACATTTTCATTTCTTGGAAAAAGTTTTAAGAATATATTGAACGTAATTCTTTGCACTTTGAAGTATATTATTAAAATGGTATATTCAATCAAAGTTGAACAATTGATCCACGTGGCAGTAGATGCCGAAAATGTGAGTAATTGTTTATATTCCTATATGAATATTGAATAATAATCAAAATTATTTTCAGGGACTAATTAATCAACACCTTTTGATCAAACTTTTAGAGTTTATTGTGCGTCGGTCAAATATCCATACATTGAATGTTGTTTTTAACGAAAATGAAAAAAATGGAGCGGAGGTATTTAAAATCCTAATGTAAAATATATACTTACCAAACACATATTCTATACGTTAAAAAGGGGTACCATTTAATGTGTCAGGGTGTACTTTCCCACCTTTATTTTTATCACGTTCTTCACCATCATACTGTTTGTTGACGCRCTCATGACTATAATATAACCAGTTCCTATCACAACGGATGTAGAGACTTTAATGATTTACGGTGTCCAAAAAACTCTCCTCACGTGTTGGTCAAGTGGGTATTGCTCTGCCAGTGGCGGTTATCTTATGGTTAAGGTATTACACAGGCAACACCTTTATATTATAACAATAAGCGAATAGGGTTTTCTTAGAGCTAGGCCAAGGAAGTTTTAGGATGAGGGTTTCAACTTTGTATATTGTCCAGTTGATTGCAAGTGCATCATTAGTTTAAAATTGCATTTATCATAGATTATACTCATACGGTTATGCTTAATCACAGTTCACAGAAAACGTTTCAATATTATATTCTGTGATAATGACGCGATACTATTAATTACAATTAATTTTACGTTAAACAAAATAAATAAAAACGATGTTCTTCCTTTAAAATCATAATTTTGTCCAAATTTAAACTTTAAATGTTTACAAAAAAAAAACACTTCTTACTTACATATATATATATGTTAAATATTTTTTTTTTTTTTGAAAGTATGAATTTCATAATAGTGGTAATATATATGTTCTATTCTATACGTTTAATAACTAATCTATTTTTACTTATAGTGTTGCAAATATATCGAAGCGTGTAAAGCGAATAAGGCTCTGCCCTCGGATGAAATATCTGAAGAAATAACATCCGATGAAATAAAATCAAAAGAAATATCAGAACAGACATTGGATCCTGGTAATATTAATAAATAATTGAAATCTTAGTTTTTTCCTACTGACTTTTTTTTTGTTWATAATAAAATAATAATTTCAGTCTAAATTTTCATATGTGACTATAAATAGCTTCAAAAGAGTAAAAATATTTTGAAAATAGGATTATGTATAGAAAATACTAATATTCATTGAAAATTTTATGTTTTAACTACACTTTCAGCTATTTTTTTTAGAGTTATAGTCAATATTATGTATTTTATACTTATTTCATATTTACAAACGAAAATAGTTTTTGACGAAATTGATTTGGTTTGGTGTAGCTCAAATGAATATCTGTCAGGACTTGAAATTTTCACAGAATATACTTCATATTCAAAACATATTTATACGAATAAAGAATTTATATAAGAATTTTAAACTTTGATTTTTCATAGTTTTCTTATGATTTTTGAAGGTTACGATATTTGTTTATGGGTAAAAATGCAATTTGGTACAATATGTATTGTGGATAATAAGTACGATACATATTATAGATTTTCTTTCTRTTATACGACTATGCATTTATTTATAATCGTTAATTTTAYAATTTATCAATCATTCAGTTAAAAATTTAAAAGTATCTAATGATAATATGTAATATTTATTATATTGTTTGGTGGATCAATATAGACATCTATGTATATTTTTGTATATTAATATTTAAGTTTTAATACATAACTTACACAATGTATGTATTATAAGTGGCACATCTACTCACAGTACTGTCCAAACTAAAATTCACGGGGGATGAGGGGTTGTAGACATATCAATTKCCGACTCAAAAAGTTATCTTTTTTAGCTCTAAAACTAATAAAAATATATTACTGTCCTGTTTATAATATGTGACTTTATTAAGTTACATTTTTTGAGTGGCTCGTGTGAAAATAAAAATATTAAAAATGTATGATACTTTTAGAGCACACACGATGCATTTACCCAAATTAACACTTTTTATCAAAAATTTAACTTCAAGTGCCTTTAATTTTAACTTGGTAACAACTTTTGAGGAACCTTCTATTCAAATAACAAATTTTTTATCGACCAAACATTGGTATTGTCTTAAGTTAAAAAAAAATAATAATTAAATTTTAAATTTAAATCTCAAAAAAAGTCAAAATATCTTTTAAAATTATAAAAATAAATTTAAATATKGAAATATAAACTTATAATAAATTTAAAAATGTAAATTATATTATAAATGCCTAAAATGTTTGATTGTTAAGAAATTAAAATTGATATTGATATTAATCTGACTAATTTTTCGTTAGTTGGATGTAATGTCTTTGAATACCCTAATTTAAACAAACATCAGCAGCAGTGGACCACTCCTAAAAACCAACCCGTCAAAACAGCCCTGCATGAAGAAGTGGCAACTTCCATGACGGATTTTCTTGACGATTCATCATTGGTAAATATATTGATTGGTTAGGTTATAACTATATAAATCACATGTTTTGATGTGTTTTTATTTTCACTTAGGATTGTAATTCATTCATAGCTGAAGGATCACCGGAGAGCATTTACAAACTGCCTTCGGAAGAAACAATTTCGGAATCTGGTAATATTAAATGTTTTTTACTTTTGTGATCAAGTAACCAATTTAGTCGGGCCCAACTGAAATTTCTTATTCAGCTTAATGGGGATAGGTATATTTATAATCTTTGCCAAAGAACAGTAAAAAAATATTGATAAAAGTATATTATACACAATAACAAAAATGTTACGATGTGGCGACCGTAGTGTCTGGCTTCAGTCACAACCCTGTTCTGCGTGCAACAATGGCCGGTGTCATTAGTCCGGGACGGGTACTACTGACTACTCTAGTTCTTAGTGACAAATCCTTGCAACATATACAGATGTTCCAAATCAAACATTCCCTTCTCCCCACTTATAATAGCTAACAGCCATAGTTGACGGTCTCAAGATCAATAAAATAAAAAATTATATATTATATTATTATTTAGGTTGTTTTAAATTAAAAAATTAACAGGTCTCTCTAAATAATTAAATATACACCTATTGCAAACATAATTTGTCACAATTAGTAAAACTTATTTTTTTAACTATGTTATTTCACTCTATAAAAATAAGTTTYGAAGGTACAATTTCAAAATTGTAAATAGTTTTTTTATTTTTTATTCAAACAATCTAAATGCTTTACATTTGTGTATTATTTTTCAATAGCATCATTAAAAGAGAAAGCGGATGAAATTTCGGTTCCTTCAAAGTTGAGTCTGGACAAGTTTTTAGAAGAAAAACATGAATATCATCTTCATACGTTCGTTTTATTAAATTAATTTTAATTTRTATACAATATCATACATATAATATATAATAAYAATTTTTTATAGTAACGATATACATGTGATAGCAGATATTATTGAACAACTGTATGGAAAAATCAAAAAAATTAATAAAGTCATTAATGTACTGCAAAAAAGCATTAAGAAATTTGTAAATGATTTTTTGTTTTTAAATTTAAAAATCAGAAGTAATAAAGTGATTGTATTATTTTCAGAATACTGAGGATTCGGATGGTTCTTCAGATAGTGAAATCAATGTGATCAAACAAATCGCTTTTTCAGACATGGGTTCATTGATGGAAATCGAAAAACGTGGTTATGATGTAAATCTCATTATATCATTGAAAAATTTAATTAGCTTTATTGATTAGGTCAAAACTTAATGTTTGATTACTATCCGATTTGTTACAGCGGTCAAAACTAGACGAAAATCTACAGAGTTTGGATCTCAGTTCCAAAGGAGAGGTGTTTAAAACGATATTTGGAAGAATTCAAAAAAGAAAAGATTTAAATTTAGCAATGTCAGTTGGGAATTTCCGTGAATTCGACCTTGATTATAGGACAAATTTTCAGACTATTCACAGTTATATARMGTTATACGTAAGTAGTATTTTTTTGTATGTGCCTACCTAGTACCTATACACAAATAAACTTCAAATTGTACATAATTTTTGTGGTGCCAAATGTAGAAAGAATCGTTCAAAAAGGTTAAATCAGATATTAAACAAATACAGATGAGTCTTTTAGATAAAAATGAATTTTTGGTATTTAAAAATACGATATCATCGTCGCACATTAAAATGAAAAATGATATCAAAGAATACATATTGAAGGATCCTGAAGCAATGGGTATCGTTAGATTTATCAAGTGAGTAAAACGTATTATAAMATATTTAAAGAATAACATTTATTATTTGTAAAAATGTTTTCTAATATGACTTTTGAACCAACTAGAATGTAAAAGTCTCGATATTAAAAGGTGATTGCGATCTTTGAAAGAATATTAAATTATTATATGTTTTGTAACTTTTATAAATTATAAAATATAAWTGTACAATGAATGTTATAAAATAAATACTAAATTAAATCATCAAAAACTTAAATGTATAGCCTGTCTAGTAACATGCCTGTTTTTGAAGTTATTTAAACATGTATCAATAAAATAATATCATCTTTTATTATTCGCAAAAGATGAATGTATAGTGTTTTTTTTTCAACGTTGCAATAATATCCACTTCATAATCACATATTAAGGGCTCATAAAAAATTAACGAAATATAATATTCATTACCATTTAACATTTTACTAAAATTGTATGAATCAATATCTCGGGCAATGGTTGAGTTGTTTCGTGCAACCACGCATTACTACCTGTATACTGCTATATTTAACGCTGAGAAATTGACTTACTAAATGTATTTCCGTATCTCGTGTTACAAATTAGAATACAACAACAAACTTCCAAATTAAAGTTTTTTGTTTTTATAGTGACGGATCATGTATGTCATGCGGGAAATCGGCCACGATTAAGACCACAAATACTGCTCCAATTTGTGTAGAGAAAGATGCGCCCAAAAGAAGTTCCAGGTAGAAAAATTTAACCATTTCATATTTCTATGAATTTATGAAAAATAAAAATAAATAATTGTAAATATTCCTATGATTTTGAAGAACTTAGAAMATATTTAAACTTCAAACGATTTAAAAAAAAATTGTGCATTACATTATAAACGCTCGATATTTTTTTGTATAATAGTGATTTTTAAAATATCACATCAYTTATCGCTATCCTAATAAATCTATTTTAGTCATAAATCGTTACAAGACAAGAACGGAAAAATGAGTACACCACMAAAAATGAAATTTCCCATGAAGTTCATAAAAGACGTACCAACTCGTATAAAGTGTAATGTTATTAAATTGCCAGCAGAGCAGCTAATATGCAGTCCTAAAACAGTCAATCGGAGTACTAATTTAAAGCGATTTGACAACAAAAACGAAGGGTACATATTTATACACACATTAGTATTTTATATTTCTATCATAAATACTTAGAAACCTATTTACTAAATGCATACCCTTACAACGTTCCACATTAAATTAAAACAACAATCTATAACTCAACATTCATTATTTTGTTTTCATAGGGACGATCCATGTATGTCATCGAAATCTCCCACAAAGTCAACAAAAGATGTCGTACCCACTGATCTAAACTTAAGTGTTATCAATTTGCCAGCGGAACAGCCAAAATTCGACTTTAAGGTCAATTGGGATGCCAAATTAAAGATATTCGAAAAACATCACGAAGGGTATAAATACAAAATACWAATATTACTAACATGTCATTTAACACATTTACAATACGTCATTAAGATACTTGTATTCTATTATTGTTGTAACAATCATGCCCTTATAGTTCATCTATGGTCAAATCGTTTTTATTTGAAAAAAATTATCATATTAAAATAATTCATTGTACCATGAATCATGATGACTAGTTAGCGAATAGTAAAACGATAATAGTACCTAAATTTACTTACCAAAAATATATATGTTAATGTAATATAATGAAATTGATTTCAGAGAACCAATCAAACAGAATGCAATTAAGACATATCKATTAATGTATAAGTAAGTAAATATTATGCACTTTAAAGGYGCCAAGTGCCAATCTATAATAATATATAAGTATTATAACAAACTGATGTAAGCATTCAAATATCTATAAATTGAATATAAGCACCAAATATATTTCATAACACCAGAACCCATAATCGAATTAATACTAATAATAATTTAACACATATACATTTTCTTATAATTTGGAGACGCCGGATAAAGTACTTATCTGTTAATATAAAAACATAGGCATATACGTGGAGGTGGCAGTGTGGATAGTTTTTTTCAATAACGAGAGAGGATTAAATATTTTTAACTTAAGCGTTTAGCTTGTAAAAGATAATCTGAACACTGAAGATAATGATTTTTAATTTAAACGTTGCATCCCTTGATATTACAGTCTAGAACTCATATAAACTAGTTTTT